AAAGTGGCCCCTCGGCTTGTAAAGCTGCCCGCGTCTACCCGAGGCCCGGGGTTTGCTGCCCGGGGCGCGGGGCTCGGGCTCAGGGGAGGGGCTGCCTTTGAAATTTCAAAAGGGCCGAACGCTGGGGAGGGGGAGGGGATCTGAGAAGCCGGAGTTTAGAGCCTCTACTGCGAGGTCTACTCAAAGAAAGAGGGGAGGGGACGGGGAGGAGACTTTCCGGGCCGCTGACACCCAGTACCCCGGGAAGAGGGGCTCGACTTAAATCGTGGTGACCTCTGCCCCGCCAAGGCCACCGTGTTTGGGCCATCGCGCTAGGTCTGCTCGTGGTTTCTCCAAGCGGTTGGGTTTATTTATTATAGGAAGTCGAGTATTTATATTATTTGGAGAGAGACGTACCCGGCCTGCGCCCTCCTGGGAGGCGGAGGTTGGGCCCCGGCCTATGCGCGCACCGCTGGTTCCCACGCAGCCTCTGCGTCTTTCGGTGCTGGCTCCCGCCCTTCGGGTTTGGGCTAGTCTGTGATAAGGACACAGAGTTTCCACGTCCTTCCCCCTTATAGGGAGTGCACCGTGGGAGCCCACCTCAATCCCTGGATGTCTGAGAGTACTGGGGTGCGGCACCTGTCGCAGACTCTTGACTTCGGATAAACGTCCCATTGGGCGGTGCCCTACTCTTTCCTTAAACGACCCCCCCCACACTATCTAGGTCGGCGTTTGAAGTGTTTTGGAAACTACCAGGACCTCCAGTGCGGACTCCTCCAACTACATAGGGTCAGCTAAGCCTCCTACTGCTCTTCTTTCTCCCCATCCTGCGCACCCCAGGACCAAGTTAGGTGCGCACGCGACTGGAAGCCCTCGGTGGCCAGCTGCCTCCAGCAGCCAAGCTAAGAGCGAGAGTGCCCAGGACCCCTCCTCTCTGCCCAGCCCTGTGCTTCCCCCAGAAGATCGGCTTCTAATTAAAACGAGAGGCGTCAGAGTCCCATCTGCAGGAAACCAGGGAGTTCTTCTTCCTTTCCCATCTGATTTGTCAGACATTATAGACAGACCTGAGACCGGGACGTGACTAGGACCCCTGGATCCTCCGGGGCAGACTCCTGCCCTCACCTTCGGATCCCCAGCTCCCTTTGCATTTCACGGGAGTCGCTGGAAGGAAGTTGGGTCCAGAGAAACAGTGGCCCGGAGGGCCGAGGTTAACGCAGTCAGAACAGCTACCCACCACCGTATTAGTAACCCAAGAAAAACCCGATATGTGGTGAGAGCTTGCAACTTGTACAAGAATAGCTTGCTTGGACATTTATAGCCTATCTAGTAAGCTGTTTTTAAAATCTTTTCAGTTAGGTGAGATTCCTGGGCCATCGCTCAGCTTTAAGACAGGATTACAAGGGGTCCTTCCTGACGCTTTTGCTTTCTGTTTTATTTTTTTTTTTTTTATTCCCCTCTTTGGGGTGGGATGGGGGCGTGGAAGAAGCCAGGGTGAGTTCCGCTCCGGAGTAGGGTGTGAGCTGTTTGAGACAGCCCCCACGTAATTGGTTTTTTTTATGCTCTGGTTACTTCTACAGTGTTAAGACCTATTATTTTAGCCATGACCACTTCACGTTCCTTTCTTCTCCCCACCCCCTTTAAATATATTAAGAAGAAAAAAAGCTAACAATTTCTTCCATCTGCCCAACCCAGAGAAATAGCAACAGATACACACGAGTATCTAAAAATAAGGCCCTGAGATATCGAGAGTGGAAGACAACTCTCAACTAATAAATGAAAGGGTCCTTTTGATGGCACCAGCTGAAAAGATATTTTATTTTTCTCTCTCCTGTGTGTGGGATTTGAGATGAGTGACTCTGGAGCAGCCGGGTCCCCTGCTGCTCAGCCCTGGCTCGGAAACTGGCCCCCCTCTGGCAAGCGTTATGGAGAGCTGGGAGGAATTTTATGGCTGTCTTTCTCCCCTCAGCTCTTTTTTTCTTTTGTCTTCTTTGAAGAACGACTTTAGACATTTTATTTACATATTTAACCAGGGATAAAAGAGGGAAGGGAAAGCTTTGGGGGCTGGCCTGGGAATAGGGCTATGTTTAAATTAATGGAAATCTTATTAGGCTTCTAAAATTTTGAGCAAGGATTTTTAATGAAACTTCGTAATTAAACACTTGTTTTTAAATAACATCCTAAAGCAAAGGATACTTTTGACCCCGCATCTCCTTATATATCTACATTTTAAAAAAAAAAAAGTCTCAGAATACCTTCTGTCGATAGTCTTAAAGTCCTTGCAACTGTCACCCAAGGAGAGTACAAGGAATACTTTTAAGAACCAGACAGTGTCTTGAGTTAAATAAATTTGAAAGTGGCGGGGAGTTAAAAGGAAGGCCCTGTTTCATTTCCCTTAAACTAGCAAAGTTAGAAGTTTTTTTTTTAAAAAAAAAGTGCACCGACACAAGTCTCGCTAGCCATCACAGCTGCGTCCTTCCTTAGTAGGTCTTGAGTGAAGAGAACCATAAACTCTTGAGAGGTTTTCTGAAATGGGATTAGAGAGGACCCAAATAATCTCTTTAAGAAAAAAAAATAGAGCGCCTCCTACAATAAAGAGAAATTAAGTCAAAAGCTTAACCTGTTACAGGCTAATTGCAAAGTAAACCTGTGGGATACGAACCGAGGTCACAAAACAACATTAACATCCTGTCTACCAGCTTAAAGATGGACCAGGGGTCTGGTTCTTTGAAGCTGGTCTTGGTAGCTTTGCCTTGACAGACCTTTTTCTGGAACCTTTCTATTTGGGGGATCCAATTGGAAAACTCTTGAAAGCTCTGTTTGCATTTCCAAACTGTTCCTTAAAGGAAGGAGAGTGGTCCCACTCAATAGAGAATTCAATTTTCCAACCAACTGGTCTTGGGCCCACACTTCTCTCCTATGTTTTTTTTTTCTTCATAGGAAATACCTTTAAGTCACCCTAGGTGATATTTAGTTAACACGCACAAACACATACGCAAGCAAGCATAAACACGCACACCTCATACCACAAAAGGAGTGCAGGTCGCCCCAAACTTAAGGACAGGTTTTAATTACATGTCAGGACACCGTTTGTAAGATACTGGGTGGGTGGGGGTGTGAGGCGCAAAGAGAAAAAAGCCCTCAGCCCTCGGCGTCATAAAATGCATGAAGGAGTGTCCCGGCCGCTGCAGAACAATTTAGGCCGCTATTTTAAGGCCACTTCCCTTGAAATGTGAATTGAAATATTACCAGAGGTTCGCGGGGCGCTTTCGTGTGAATTGCAAATCAAGCCTCGCTTTAATCCTCTTTCAAGGCCGGGCCTTGGATCGCTGGCGTCGCCCGGCTCCCCACTGCTTCTGGCGCAGAAGGGACCATTCAAGGGGGCAGCTCCCCTCCTCTGTTCCCACACTCCAAAAAACAACACCGCAGACAGACACCCTCCAACTAAATTAGATTAAACTCCTACTCTTCCACAGCGCATTAGCCTTTTTACAGCCCGGCTCTGCCGGTTGCTCCTCCCTGTTTAAAGACACAGCGCAGTTTTTTTCCGTCTCGGCCACCTCCACACAGACGTGTTGGGGAAAAAAAAACTTTAAAAGATGTAAAGTGCACCAGGCTAAATGATTTCAACTGCAAGAGAGACCTCTACGTAAAACACAGGCAGACCCTCGTGTGCCGGCTCCGGGACTTTCGTGGACCCACCCTGTGAGAAACTTAAACCCTAGTATATGGTGATCTTTAAAAAAATAACAATAACAAGATAAAGAAAATTTAGAGAATTGCCTCACAAAACGAAGCAGACAAATACGTGATTCTGTTCTGCGTTAATGTCCCAGAGGACACTAGAAGAAAAATGGCTGAAATGAAACCTCACCCTTTCTTCCCTGGGTACCTTGGACTCTGCTTCTGAGGTCTCAGTCCCTCCGGCCAATGCCTTTGTCTACCACCCCTGCAACATCTGTTTCTTTCCGCTTTACTCGTGGCCTGTCCACACGACCTCGGTTACCCAAGCCAGGAGACTGGTCCATCCCAGGCTTCTCCTCCTTGCATGGGTGAGGGAAGCAACCAGGATGACACAGTAAAGCTGTCCCTTCAGGGGCAAAGCTGGGGCGACCTCGAGTTCTGGCTGCCATCACTGAATCTGAAAACCCTTTCATCACTTTCTGGAGCAGTGGTTCTCAACCTGTGGGGGTTGATCCCTTTGGGGGGGTCAAACAATCCTTTCATGGGGATCATCATCAGACTTTGCATTAGGATTCATAACAGTAGCAAAATTACAGTTATGAAGTAGCAACAAAATAATTTTACGGTTGGGGAGGAACTGTGTGGAACTGTATTAAATGTTCACAATGTGAGGAACTGTATTAAAGGGTCACAGCATTGAGAAGGTTGAGAACCACGTGGTTCTGGAGTCATGTGATCAGGGCTGAACTATTTCCAGGCCCTGGTTTTCTCACCTGAGAAATAGGACCTAACCTAGTAAGGACAGTCACCTGGCTGTTTCCACAATACAATGTCAGTGCATTATGGGATGTGACTTTTTTCTTGGGTGGCGGGTATTGTGAAGCCTGGGGACCATAGTAAATCCAACCCAAGCATCCCTCATAGTTAATCTTGA